GGATCGAGAGGTGACCACAAACTTTCGGGCGCCGAAGTATTGCATCCATGGAATCAATTCCAGACCAAAACCACCCAAACCTCCGGTTATTATATAGACTTTGTTTGGATTGAAGTAAGTCTTAGCGCTGACCAACATTTCGGGCACAGGTTTTACTGCTTTCAAAGGCCCTCTATTTGTCTCTTCGTCTCTGGTTTTGATGACTATCTTTCCCGTGTGTTTACCGGTTGTCATATAACGGAAAGCCTTCTCCGCTTCCGCCGCCGGAAACACATTTTGATTGATTGGTTTCACACAACCATTGGTGCAGTTCTTGTGAACCCAATCGTAAAACTCGGGCAAAAAGTCCGGATAATCAAGCAGAACGAGATCTAACACTACGCTAATGAAATCAATGTTGCGCACAAAATCAAACATGCCCAGTTTTTTATTCTGGACCATGTCGAATCTGCCCATCTCCACAAACCGACCATGGTTGGCCACACAACTATAGCTCGCGTCCAGTTTCTCTCCGGACAATGAATTCAACACAACGTCGACTCCCTTTCCTTCCGTCGCTTCCATTATCTGATTCTTGAAGAGTATATCTCTTGAGTTGAATATTTTGTTCTCCGGTATATTGTATTCATTTATCAAAAACTGTTTTTTCTCGTCGTTACCGACCGTCACATATATATCGCATTCATAATGTTTACAGATATTTATAGCCGACTGTCCCACACCTCCGGCCGCCGAGTGTATCAAAATGCTTTCACCTGTTATACATCAATGTAATTACTAAACATGCTTACATTTCTTATGTATAACATTATAAATAAATGTAATGTTTAATTATAGTAAAATTTCATTCAAACCTTTCCTAAGTCTTCCGGCTTTAATCAATCCATAATAAGCTGTACTATAAGTACTCAATATAGAGACGGCATCGTTTATAGACCAGTTGTCAGGGATTTTAGCGTAAGTATGAGTCGCCGCGTATACCGATGTCGCAAAACAACGGCCCGATTCCATACCCATAACCCGTTCCCCCGTTTCGGCCAAACGACCGGCGAATTCACCACCAATTGTACAGTCCATGAATACAACCTCAGGACCCGATGGGATACGACCTGTATTAGTTATTATTAGTTTGTTAAACAATGAATAACCATCATTATTAATAGCATACCTGTGGCTAACATAACGTCGTGAAATGATAATCCGGTGCTATAAATATTTATTTTATTTTTGGTCACTTTTTGGCCGTTGAAATCATATGTTTCTCGTTTTGGTGAAAGAGATCTCAAATCATACCATTGAAGACCTGCGAGATCTCGAGTTTGACCCAAATTTAGAAAATACTCATTGGAAAGGACTTTATCACTATCTTTGGGTAGTTTTATGTGTCTATAAGTTCCCAGTTTTCCCCCTTTGATAACATTCGCGACCAAATCGTTGGCCAATATATCAGAATAGGGTTTAGTATTGAAGTCAATGTTTGTCTCACTATTGGAGTCCATATTGAATATATATCTAAAGTTTTCTCCTCCGGGTTCTAATCGCATGCTATTGACTAACCCTACGATTCCATTAATACCCAAGTCGTCGGCCATAAGCCATACGTTATTGGTTTGATTGTCCGCCTCTTTTGCTGTAATCAACTTTTGCTGCAATACTCCAAACCATTGCTCATAATCTGTAGTAATTCTAATGACATTACTTTTATCGGGTATTTCCGACTCATTCACTATTTGTCTAAACAAAACACTGACGGTTCCGATGCTATCATATTTAGTACAAATCAATTTGAGCCCAATTTCATCACAAATTGTGATAAACTCTTTGATCCGATTCTCGAGAAACAAATTATTATAAATCGCTTTTCCGTTCAATGAAT